TGTCTTTTTTTCGCTGACGAGCGATGAACCATCGCCCGCTTCGCGGCTGTTTGGCCACGGGTTCGGCGGTTCGGCGGTTCGTTTGCTGGAATGGCCACCGCACAAGATTTGGGGTGAAAGCCGTGGTTTTTTTGATTGCCCCCAAAAATTTTACACGTGTTGGGGGCTGGTGGCCTTGATCATGCGCTGGGAGGCCGCTTTGGGGAACTTGTTTGGGCTCATCTTTCCAGTCCGCAACCCCAGCATCGAAGAGATCTTTGTTCCATCTCAGACAAGATTGCAACCAGTCAGGCTGAGAGATGTCTCGCCAATATCAGGAGTGAAACATCCCGAACAATCTTGTGGCTTCACCTTTCTGCGTTCAAACGTGTTTGACATCTACAGTAAGATACAGTAAGTTTTGTTTGAGCGAGGATCTATCTTCCCGAAGCCGCACCCCAGTACGCACTGTCAAAGCCTCAACAACCAACTCTTCTTGGGGTGGTTCAGCCAAATCCGTTGTCAATCAGGCTGGGATTCGCCGCCAGGAGATGTGAATCTACATGTAACTTGTCTTGTTGGCCCGGGAATATTCTTGCAGGATGCGCTTCAATGGTCTCCTGAAACCCTGAAGATCTTGGATGAAGTCCAAAACCCAACCCAGCGAGTTCTGCCCTCATGTTGGAAGCTTTTAAGCAAACGGACAGGTGAAACACAACCGCCAACAACTCTCAGGCGTACCGCCACTCATTCTCGCCGGAGGTGTTGCGGGCTGAATTCCAACCCTGTCATCAACCCTTTGTTTGACTGCTGTTTCATGTGACAGGTCACCCTTGCATGTCGTGACGATGCTCAGACTGAAGCTGGCCCAATGGAGGTGCCATGCTCAAGTCAACAATGTCCTGCATTAACCAAATGTGATCCAACCAATATCAACCAATATATACCCAAGGTGATTGAAGAAAAAAGCTTTGCAGCTACTGTCCTTCGCACAGTGCTACCCTCAGCCTGCAACACCACCCTACCACACTCCAGCTGAGAAAGTCCAAGGTTGCAGCTTACGTGGAGGAGACCGCTGGTGTCCAATGCCCAAAGAAGACCTTGACTTCTGTGTGGCATGTTGTGGACGAAGCTTTAGAACGACTGAGAGACGGTGACCTTGATGTGGAGTTTTTGGCAACAGTTGACTAGTTCCTTGTGTGACTTAGCTTCTTTTTGGGGTCGCCAATTCGAACGCTGGCTGCAACTTTGGACTTTGGCCAGCCACGGGCTGAGTTGAGAGTGAGAACTGCTTTTCCGGTGATGTGAAGCCCAGTGTGGGGATTGAATTGTTTTTGGTGGCCAAACATGTTTGAAATCGGCACCACCTGTCTCCAAAGGTCCGCCCACCAAGCACGTGATGAAACGACGGGCGAGGCAGGGCACTGCAAAGTGACTTAAGCGTGACACATGACATGAACCTGGCTAAACACCTCCCGGCCCGATCTCACTGCGTCAGGTGAGGTTGCTCTGGGCCTGCCGCGTTCGGCTGGCTGAGCTGCTGGGGTGAGGGCGAGGGGTCCGGATTTTTCTAGTATCACTAGCATCTAAAACCGGAGGAAGGTCCAAAGCCTCTTATCGTCTAATGGATCCGGCTCTCTTGCCCCTTTGTGACTCGCGGGGTTCAGCGTCACACTACACGCAAGAACTTAACAAGAACTTTCTCTTCGAAAGTTTGATGCAGGATTCTTTACACCGACATGAGTGAACATGTTTGAGCCAATGTTTTTCTGAATGTTTGGTGTATTCTCGAATGTTTGAACTTCTTTGTTTCTCGATCGTTTGGATTTGATGCAGGCTTTATCAGTAGGCTGGCTCAGATTCTTTAGAAGGATTAACGATGATTTTGCCGTGGTTCCAAACGTGTGCCACAGGGTTCAATCGCGGCATAGCACTTGGGAAAACTTGGGAGAAAACAAATGTTTTGTCGCCGATGGCGGCCTCAAGTTGACCTGCACGTACTTGCGTGCACTTCACACATGAACTCGCGTGGCTTCCAGGAGAACTTTAGGGGTTTGGTGGTTCGTAGCTGGTTCCGCTATGCCGCTCATGAGCCCTGTGGATGAGTTGTCCGAGTCAGGGTCCCTGTGATGTCAGAGAGAGCAGGGTTCTGTTGGTTTGGATTGAACCCGCACCGCTTGCTCCCATATACTGAGTTATGAGATGGCTGAGCAGGAGCAGGAGCTTGTGCTCGGGCCCCAAGTGTCAGTGGCGCAACTTCAACGCTTCACACTGTAAGTGGAATGAACTTAGGCAACGGCATGAGAGTGGGGGCAAAAAGGCACTATGTTTTGGCTGAATGAGTTCTAAAAAACTACATCTTCATGCGCAATGTTACAGTATATTCCCAAATACTTTTTTGTGGATGGCAGGTTCCCAAATGGGGCATTTGGAAGGAAGGACAGCTCAACTCCCACAGCCCGTCTTTCATGCCACAGCTCCCACGCACACCATTGGGCATAGTGTTGGCTCTTTGATTGCGTCACTATTCTATCGTTCATCCACTCTGATTTGCTAGGATGCCAAGTTTTATTCCTACTGGTGAAATTGTTTGAGGTGCCTGAGAGGCCCAAGAAGGATACCATTTTGCCCAAAAAGGGTGAAATCTTGAAGAAGAAGTTCACAGTGAACACATGGGGCACCATCCGCCCCGACCTCAAGCATCGCTCCAGCCTCTGTCATTGCAACCACAGAGCTTTCCAGAATCAGGCCTCTTTGGGGCAACGCAGCGAGCAAACCCAAAATACTTATCGAAGCGTGGCGCACAAGACCGGACTTATACTGAATCTGTCGTTCAAACCTTTTTCATGCCTAGAGTCATCAGAGATGTTCTTGCTGCAGGACTTTGCAAATCAAGTTTACCATTGGGAATCCTACATCCTGGCATGCCGCCAAGCGGGCAAGCCACGTGGCTTGTTTGCCACCCCGGACATAGGTGAATCTATGGCAGGCCAGGTGTGAACACATAATTTTGAAACGTCAAGACTTGGACCATCTTGGACCAATGCATTTGGAGGGCTTCCTCGTGGCTGGACGGACCCAGCCCCGGGTTCAGTGGTGGACGACCTCTGCTCCATTTACCCTTGGATGCACAAGGACCCTTGAAACCTTCTGTTCACATTTGGACTATTTTGGACTTTCTTGCACCTTTACAGGAGACTGGCCCCAAGTTCCGGGTTGCCTCATTGTTTTCGGGTGTGCTTGGACTCGAGTTGGGTGTGCGAAAGCTCGACCCTAAGTTCTGTATATTGCATGTCCAATTAGAATTCACCAGCAATCTTTCACAACGCTGTCGCTGAGTCTTTGCACCAGTGTTTGCTATGCCAGGGCCCAAAAACTTGTACAACTGATGTCAACCTCGAAGGACAAGTTGAACCCCTTCACTTCCAACCCGCCCAGGTAGAGAGCAATCCTTGGTGCCGGGACCTGATCGCGCAACGTCAGCATGATGGCCTGGCGGACAGAGGGCCAATCTACAGTGATGTTACCACATGCAAGTTGGAGCAGGATGTGGACGGTTTTCTCGCAGGATTTCCGTGCCAGGGGATCTGTAAGGCTGGGCATGGCTTGGGGTTGAAGGACGCCAGGACTTCGCTGGTGAAGCATGTTTTTCGCCTATATGATGAGCAGCCTGTTCCACCGAACCTTTACTAAAAGTTATGCCCAATCCTTGGTGTTGGATTATGTTAAATCAAAGATAATCAAAGAATTTGGAGCTCCGCCGTTTCAAAGCAAGTCAGGAGATTTATGTTGTTGGAGAACGTGGGTGCCATCCTCCAACCAAACCATCGCCAAGTGCTTGACTACATTTTTGAGGTGCAGTTGATATTATATACAATATATAAGTTTAACTTTGCATGCGAGCATGGATAGGAATCGGAGAAGCGTGGATTGGTGTGCGTCTACGCGACTGTGAATGGTCACATGGTTGGCGCGCAGGTTCAACCCTCAGTTGAAATGTGCTGCATGTGGGCCTCACATATCCAGCGTTTGTGTGTTGTTGTTGCATCATAGTACCACCCAGATCTGGCGCGAGCGGGTGTTCTTCCTCATCGCGCATCCAACCTTCAACCTGTTCCAGGCATGAACACGCAACATATGGGATCAGAAACAAACATGTGACCTTTCATACCTTTTCCACATCACCATCTACTACTTGTCTTGCCCTTGACAAGGACCACACTATGCTCAGCGAAGCGCAAATGAGGGAACAGTCTGTGAGCCCTTGGATGCTGACCTCGCACAAGCCTGAGCTGTGTGATTGGCTTGCCCCGGAGCCAAGCCCGGGTTGGAAGGAACGGCTGTCAGCCGTAGGTAACATCGTAGTACCTCACATGGCCAACTTTGCAGCCAACCTCCTAAAGGAGATTTGGATCTCTCAGCCGAGTCAGCCGAACCGGAGCTGAGCTGTTGGTTTTCCTGTGCAGCTTGGAAATGTCAATTCACCTTTGGACTCAGCCAGGCTGCGTCTAATTCGCATACCTCCGCAAGGGGTTCGGGTTGTTCGACGCACAAAGAAAGGGATAAGAAATGCAATGTGAATGCACATCTTGGTGCATTTGTAGATCGATCATGTTACCACCTGCAAGTTGTATGAAGATGTGGACGGTTTTCTCGCTACTTCTTGTTGGTTTACTTGTTGGTTTACTCGCTACTTGCAGCTCTGTTTTTGAGCCGGGAGCGTTGACCGGGAGCTTTGACCGGAAGAGCTTCCACAGGTGCGCCAGTGGCATGTTTGAAATCTCAGCTGCTTGCAATCAATCTTTCTCCTATGAGCGGCCGTCAGAACGCTTGGCTCAATGTCGTTCAAATCAATTGTTCAACCTATGGAAGTTCTGCAAGTGGGCGCCAACATGCAAGTGGGTCCAACAAGTGGGTCCATCATCTCAAGAGTTTCTCAGAGCCCCATTCCTATCTATTGTTTGTTCGGTGCCAGCGAGGGTACCTGCAGTGTGGTGCTTCCAGCCATGGAGTGCAGTTGACAAAAGTTCAGGACATGTGATTTCATACGTTTCATAGTCGCTCACCCCGAGCGTCTCTGCTGACAGAACCACGCCCGCAGGACCGGCCTGCTGGAGGAAAAGATCGAGCTCCATTGGCCTTGGATCAGGTATCAGGAGCGTGTAGAGATGAATCAACCATAGAAAGTCGACTACAAAGCGTGGCAAAGTGGATGCGTCTAGAGCCTTTGCACCACATTTTATGGTTTCCAAGTTGATATTGCGTGATGATTACCATCATGATATGTCCATTTGCCCCGCTTCAACTCCAGGACGCCTGTTCTCAACACTGATTAGTTGCAATCTCAGCGTGCCACCCACTTCTGTCCACTTCTGTTCTCAACATATCTCAACATTAGAATATATTAGAATCATTAGTTGCAAACAATTTCAACTATCGCCATGTCCTTCGTTCACAAACCTCAGATGTCTATTGAGGCAGCCCCATAAATACCTAACCACCATAAAAATTAATTCAGGGTCTGAGATTTGTCACTACCTTCACCATCTTTGCGCCCTGCGCATTGTCCTGAGGCCCCGCAAACATGCTGGAAGCTGTGACCAGCCTCAGCGATGAGGAGAGGTGCAACGACCGACCACCACCAAAGGCGGTGCTCGGCGACGTTCGCCGCAAGCGACCTCCCCGCTACAAGAAGAAGTTTCTTGGTACTTCGTATGCCTATGGAAGCACAGTGGACCCTACTAAGATGCGGCATTTGATTTCCTCTCGCTGTGGGTGTAGCTGCAAATGCTTTCAACCTTTCCATGGTTCCATCCACATGTTCGAAGAGTGGTTGAAGCAGCGGCGATTGATGGCAAGCATGACCAAACTTGAGAAGGACGAATATGTTTCTTGCCCAGCGGTTCAGCACATGTTGAAAAGTCTATCGGGTCTATTTACCTTGTTTCCTTTTGTTCCGTTTTACATCCGTGTCTATCCAGTGAGTCTCCCCACCGTTAGGTCTTCAGCTGGTTGAAGTCGTCTGCCATGGAGGACGCCTGCCGAGGCTCGAGGTACTTGAGAATCTGTGGGCAGCTGGTGTGCGGCCGCGGGTTCATGCGGATGATGGGAATAGGGAAGAAAAGGTTTGGAGTTCTTGGGAGAGCGGCGTGAAAAGGTGAACAACATTGCCCTTACGATTGTAGATATGTGCCTAGGGGGCCCAAGGCACCCTCAGAGAAGTACAAGAAGGTGTACGACTTTCTGATGGAACAGTGGACCAATGTGGCCGAGTTTATTCCTGATGGCCTGAATTCAAACAAACGGCCCAGGTTTGGCACTGAAAAGCTTGATTCTCCCAGCATGAACAGAAGCTCCATCAAACATTTACCACCGGGATCACTTTCCGAATACCACAAGCAATGCCAAGCGGCAACGAGAGATCCTTCGATCAGTCGGAAACTTTTCTCGACTGCCCCATGTCTCAGCATAATGAGCTCTGAATACTTTGCAGTTGTTTTTACTGTGTTCCTTTCCACCTGGAAGTTTGGATTCGATGAAGTTGGCACCCCAGGTATGGCAACGAGAGTTCAAAGAGCGACTGCGGGTGCGCTTCCACTCGCACCACGCCAAATGCTCTATCTGCATCAGGCATCGGCTCATTATCAAGAAGCTAGGCCATTGCGCTGCTGCTCGCAGGGCGCAGTTTGCTGAGTTGCAGCGACATTTGTCTCGCCAGCTGGCAGACCGTCGCATTTATTGGTTCAATCGCTCGCAGAGCCGCTTGAGCGCGACCAGTCCATGCTGCCAAGAGATGACCTTCATTTTGGACAGTATGGACATGCAGAAATACTCCTGGCCAAAGAGCCCAACTATGAACGCCAAGGACTTCTGCTCATGGGCTAGGCCCCGCATGGCTTGCACCAGTTTGTTGGCCCACGGCCATCTAGTTCTGAACGTCCTCACGCATCATTGCATTTCAACAACCAGCTCAAGGACGGCTGAAATCGTGAGCTACGCAATGTCAAAGCTTGCGCTTGAGCGGCGGATCGACTTTCGTCGAATCATGCTATGCATTCAGGCCGACAACGCCTCTAAGGAGGCTAAGAACAACACCCTGTTGCGCCACTTTGCGTGGCAGGTGGCACTGAGAAAACTCAAAGGATGTCAACTTACTTTTCTCAGCAGCGGCCACTCTCATGAGGACATCGACAGTCTATTCAGCAATTTGAGGGCATGGCTTTCACGACACAGTGACCTTTGGACACCAGAAGCCTTTCGTCAATGCTTGGATGAGTATTTTCAGGATCCGTCGCATCGGCCCTATGAGAAGATCCGGGAAACCATTCGGATGGACCGGTATCGAGATTGGTGCCCCATATGACTTAACAATATTTCTGTTGACTTTGAGGTAGCTCAACTTTTAGGCTGCAATAGTCTATTTGAAACCTCTCTGCACCTCTTCAACACCACAAGGAAAAACTTCTGGGGGTACTTCATGCATTTTGGACACCTGAAGGGTATAGGTGGCCCTGGTGCGCCACATGTGTTCTGTTTGCAGCGGCTGGAGGACGCAGGCCATGTATTTCAAGGGGGTTTGAGAGCGCTTAGGAAATCCCCAAGTTAGTGAAATAGGAGCTTTGCTGTACATCACCCTGTTTTAAGCCTTAATATGATATGCTTGATATGCTTCTTGGATGGACCAGTTCTTGTAAACCCCCACCGTCAGGCGTTGACCCTACAACTGTCGATCAGAGCTTTTGGCAAAGGCGCCGCCATGTTCTCACCGGTGGAGATGTTATCGTCAGGAGACAATGGATAGAACAATGTATATATATATAAATAAATTAAAGCAACATGGTCCATATGTTTTGACCTGGTCTCTCCAAACGTGGTGCCCTGTCACCTCGCAGGACAAAGCGGTTCATGTCCTCTGAGCATTGGGATCCCAACCCCTTGCTCTTTCTGCCAGCCTGGCGTGGCTGAAAGCGCCACTGGAGACTCACCACCAGGTTCGTCCTGACACTGGAGCAGAGTTTGGATGGAAACCAAAGAGTTCATTCCTACAATTTTCTGACTAAGCTTTGTGTAACAACGGGCCCTACTCCAACACTTGAAGCTTATTATGTGAAACCTTCCGCACCTGGCCAGTCTTTCTCGAGCCGGCTTTCAATGAGAACTCTGATGAAAACCAAAAGCTTCGGAAATATGCATCCTTGATGCGCCCCCGTCTCAGCTTCACCGCCTTGTGATGCCCTTTATTTCTTTGATTGCCTCTTAGGCCAGGAACCTTTTGAGATGCATTCGGCTGCCAATGCCCTGGACAAATTGTCCTATGGCATTTTTGATGACCCGTTCGTTGATGTAAGCTGGCCCATGGCTCAGTATATGCCTCCAACGACCTCCTAGCCTCATAACTTCGCCTGTTGTCTTTCCCAAGGGCGCTGCCCGCTCGTGGTCCCGCAGTCGGACTGGGGGTCAATGCCCCGCACCATGTGCAGGGCAGAGATTTGGAAGCTGTCCCAAGCTCAGAACCACTGGAGACAGGAGAGCACTGAATCGCAAGTCTTGGCGCTGTTTGTGGTGTCTGGATGTGTGCAGCCTCGCCCACCCTTGCCCCAGCCCAGGCTCCAAACCGCCTACGTTTGCTTGTTGATCGCCCAAACCGTGAGGAAATGGTCCGCTACCGTCGGGCAAGGGATTATCAGATTTTGCACCGCTCTGCTGCCAAGCTTTGGAGTCATGGGGTTGACATGAGCACTGCTCTCAAAATCATCCGAGAAGCAGTGGCCGAGTCGGGGGTTTAACCTGTAGTGGAGCGCAGAGTACAAGCAGCTGCCAGCGCAAGTTGGTTTGTGAACAACAGTTTCGGCTAATTCCAAGAGTGGTCTCTTCCAACTTCCAACATCCTTTTTTTGTGAATCAGCTTGTGCAAGCTACATCCGCCCAATGTGCCAAGCCTACGCTTTGTGAAGGGCTGGGCAATTAGTGCCCGCTGTTTGTGAACGCTGATCTCGGCACAAAATCGACAGCTGTATGGACTCGGTGGTTTGTGCTTAGCCGGGATCCAACTCGGCACAACCTGCCTGGTCTTCTCCCAGATCCTTATGTTAGTGAATGTTGGATTGGTAATTTTATTGGGTGGAGGCTCAGAGGTATTGTGTTTGTGCTTAGCGGGGACTCCACTCGGCACAACTTCGGTGTTTGGTTTGACCGAGTTGTTTGTGATTTTTTCTTGCATCTCAAAAGCTTTTGTCTAGGGCATGGTCACCTCAGGAACAGACCCTGATACGGAAGGTTTTGTGAAGAATCCGATCTCTGCTCGTCACAAAATGGCAGTTGGGGAATGGAGCTCGTCACAAAACGGCTGTTGGGAAATGGAGCTCGTCACAAAACGTCAGTTGGTAAACTTATTTCAAAACAAGACGGCCGTTGGGAATTGGATCTCGTAGCAGACCCGAAGTCACCAAATCTGAGAAATGGAGGGCACTGAACGCAACCATCCCCATCTGGCACCCAGTCCGGGGTGCCAGATCCCCGGTTGAGAAACGTCACCAAACCTGTTTAACAAAGTTTTTTTTTCGCGTCCGTGATCGTCCGTGCCATGTAAAGGTTCACTCCTTTCGTGTTCGGCTTGAAAGAAACCACCATGAGGGCCAGAACCCCTTCAACTCGATCACGAGCCCTCCACTGCTCCGACAGTCACTCCTGCCAGGCGACTCGAGATGCCTCCAAAGAAGCGGACCAGTGGCAGTGGTGGAGGGGCGGGAGGGGCCAAGAAGGCCAAGAAGGGCGGAGACTTACCATCGATTGCCCCTGATGCCCTGAAGCTCCCCCATATGCACCTCTTCGATGCGTGGTTGAACCTTTGATGAACTTTAGGAAACTAATGAAACATAATGAAACCGTGAAAACAATTCTTGAAGAACTCAGCCATATCCGTGTCTATAAGATTATATATATATATATATACTTTCAGGACCGAGAACGTCGGGAAGCAGAGCCTTTGCCTTGATCAGTTCCTGGAATCGAAACTTAGCGACGAGGCCAGGAAAAATGAGTGGAATCTTGAAGAACATGTTGCTTCAATCTCATCGAATCTCATCGTTTGTTGTTTCAGGGTCATGCAGTGGAGTTCTACAAGTGGCTGGACGACTCATTTCCAGCAGACCCTTCTTTGTGCACAACCCAGATGGCAGCGTGATAAAACTCTTGGAAACATGTCCACCCATTGCTGATCCTTTTTGCAGGGTTCTGATGAATGGTTGGGTTTGCTAGGAGCTACATGAGCATTGGTGATGTGGGCAAAACCGGCGGTCAGTTCATCCGACCATTCCACCTTCCGCATCGGCAAGACTATGGACTCCGGGGGACGTCAGATCATGTGTTTTGGATTGATCCGAAAAGAACGCCTATACCATATCATTGGAAAACCATTTGCATGTTCAGTCTTGGTCCCGTTGCTTGAGCTAACAATCGGTCTTAGGACCTGCAAAAGACTCTCACCCAACTTATCCTGCTCAACGGCTTTGCAACCAGCGCTGACGTGCCTGG